GGGGGGGGGGTGATTCAGGGGTTTAGAGGTGCTGGGAGAGACAGAGGGAGCCAGTGAGTGATGTTGAGGGAGGGGGGCCAGGCCTCAGCAGGAGAAAGAGAAAACACAGGGGGCCAGGCCCGAGGGTGCTGGGGAATGTGGTTAGAGATGACCAGGCAGGTGCAGGATGGGTGGGGGTGGATGCAGGGACAGGCGTCCAGCCTGAACAGGAGGAGTCACTCAGAGAGCTGGGCCTGGACCCAGGCTGAGGGCAGTCCTGGGAGGCCCCACGGAAGGCACACGGGACACTGAGGCCCAGAGAGGTCAGTGAGGGATGCAGGGTCCCACACCCACACCCACACCCACACCCACACCCACGGCCGCCGCCAAGCCAGACAAGCCGCACCCAACAGCAGCTTCGAACTCAGGCACCAGGCTTGGAGCTACCAGCTGCAAACCGTCGGTCCCCCGGCACCGGCTGCCTCACCAAGAACCACGCAGGAGAGGAGGCCGAGGGGGCTGCCCTGTGCACCGAGGCCCAGCTTCCCCCGCCCTTCCCCACCCCACGGTCCTCCCACAGCCACAGCCCAACACTCGCTGCTTACCGGTGACCCCAACAAAGCCCCTTTGTTACTTACTGACAGTCGGAGGACGTGGGCCGGTAGTAGAAAGATGGCACTTTGGACTCATATGTGGCCCTGGCCACGTCGTTCCCGTGGGAGGCCATGAACTGTGAGAGAGAGGACGGGTCAGGGCACCCGAGGGCTTGGCCACCCTGTCCCAGGGACACTGTCTGGGGTGAGGAGAGATGGGACCTGCCCTTCCCAGCAGGCAGAAGGGGCCTGGGAGGGTGCACAGGGGGAGCCTCCTCGGGCAGGATCTGAGCCCCAGTCCTGTGGCCGCCCTGACTCCAGACGGCACCGGGCTGCAGGCTGCTCCATCTCTAGAGACTCCACGTTTGCCTCCCTCAGGGGACCCATATTCAGGGAACAGCTAACGTGTGCCAGACACAAGGAGGGCCCTGCAGGCGGGCCAGAGAGCAGGGACACCCGGCCCCAACGAGGCTGACACCCCGCGAAGGCACAGGGACTGCGGCGATGAAGAGCGTGGGTACGAGAAGTGAAGCAGCAGCACGTGGCAGGGAGTGCAGGGTGACCGTACAGGTGATGGGGAAGGCTCTCCAGGAGGCCACACGCAGGCTGCCCATGGCATGGGGGAACAGCATGTGCAAAGGCCCTGAGGCTGGGACGTGCCAGGCATATGGGAGATGCCCCTGCTGGGTGCGTGACCACACAGGCACTGAGGACAAGGGGACAAGAGGGGGTTCCCTGTGCTCCAGTCTCTCCGCTTCCTGATCCCCGACAGAAACCCCTCCCCCTAAAGTCACCATGCCCTGAGGACCATTGGATCATGAACATGGGGGACCCAAGAGGACGACTAGAAAAAAAATCACAAAAAAAGACATTTCTCCAAGTTAGAATTCTAAAATCAATCGCTTGCTGTAGCAGGTATAACAGAAAGAAGGGCCCACAGACGATTCTCAGGCACAACGCCTAACACTCCGCCTAGCGCGGAACTTTTGACCCTACGCAGGACAGATGTCTCCTGAAGAGGCGACAGAAACCTGGGACAAAGACACCTCGCTCTCGGGTGGGAGAGAGAAACGCTGTCTGTGTTAATCTGTGTTTCTTGCAATTCTCAACACACACACACACACGTACAGAGGAACAGAGTTTTTTAGAGTTAGCAGTGATTCTAAAATTCATTTTAAAATTAAGCAGCAGCCCGGCCGGCGTTGCTCAGCAGTTGAGCATCGACCTAGGATCCAGGTGATCGGGGTTTGATTCCCGGTCAGGGCACATGCCCAGGTTGCGGGCTCGATCCCCAGTTGGGGACATGCAGGAGGCAGCCGATCAATGACTCTCATCATCGATGTTTTTATCTCTCTCTCTCTGAAATCAATAAAGATATATTAAAAAATAGAAATAAATAAAATTAAGAAGCAAAGACATGCTAGAAGACTGAACGTGAGGGCTGTTCCTCGCAGACGTTACACCTGTTACAACGCAGCACAAGTTACGCAGGTGCTGAGCAGGATGCTGAACTCGGGGGACACACCAGCAGGTGCAGAAACAGGTCTGGGGGGCCCAGGCCCAACGCCGAGCAGACCTCACAGAAGGCGACCGGCAGTGAGGGGGACTCAAACCAACGGGCACGTCCGTGGGCTGAGCATCAAGAGGGTTAGGAAACTGGGAAGCCGGGGAGAAAAAGTAGAGTCGGACCATCTTTCAGTAACATAAACCCAGCTGTGTTAAAGGCTTAATTCCCAGAACTAAACGATAAAAGTGGAAGATAAAAAACCATGGGAAAGCCCGGCCGGCGTGGCTCAGCGGTCAAAGCGCCTGCCCTCGGACCCAAGGCTGTGGGTTCGGTTCCTGGTTAAGGGCATGCGCCTGGGCTACAGGATTCGACCCCGGGGCGCATGTGGGGGGCACCTAACCGATCAACCT